TAACAATTAAAATTAATTAATAAATTTAAATTAATATTTATTAATAATTAAATACAAGTAATATTAATCAAGGTTATAATTGAAAAAAATGGGAAAAAAACTACCAAAACATTAATTCAATTAACGTTTAAATAAGTTAGCTTATATCTATACTATATTATAAAACATTTGACAAAAACTCTTAAAACTCATTTTTTATGCATGAAGTACTGCATATTTGTGCATATTACTTAAAATTCAAGATTACAAGTAAATTATGAACAAATACAACTTATTAAAGCTCCATGTTTAAATTCATATAACTAACTGCAGATAAACATAATCAAATAGATGATAAACATCTAATTTTAAAATATAAAAAATTTAAAATATGATTAGAATAATTATCGAGTTATAACAAAATAATTAATTATTATCTTTATAAAAAAAAGTTGTGTGTTTCTCAAAATTTATTTCTAAAACAAAAGCTACAAGGGAAAAAAAAACTTTAAAAGCTAGAAAGAGGTATTTAACACGAGCATGATTTGAAAAGCTCACTCTCTATTAAAAGCGAACTTTTAATCATACTTAAGAAACCAACTCAACTAATTTATGTTCATGCCTTTAAAAAAAACTAAAAGGGTACTCACACAATGCAATGAAATATATCTTCATTTTAATATTGTCTTTGTTGATATAATACAATTTATGTGGTTTTGAAAAATATAATGTTTGTACGATTTAGTGAAGTAATTTATTTTTGGCTTAATAATAAATTTTTATAAAGATAATGATTCTGTTAAAACTCAATGATTATCCTAATTATATTTTAGATTTTTATATTTAAAATGAGATGTTTATCCTGTATTTATGATTATGTTTATCTGCAGTTAGTTATATGAATTCAAAAATGGAGCTTTAATAAGTTGTGCTTACGCATAATTTACTTGTAATATTAGATTTTAATAATATGCATTAATACACAGTACTTCATGCATGAATACTAGTTTTTAAGAATTTTTGTCAAATGATTTACAATATAGTGTAGATATAAGAGACACACATCAAAACATAATGATGGCACCCTTCAAAAACATAATTTATATTCTAATTTAAATTAGTAGTTACTTTTTTTTTTAATGGAAAACACATTTTTTAAAATCTTTTGACAAATTTTTTTAAATACTTATAATGATGAAATGTAAATAATAATTAATACGAGAGTTTTAATTATATATATATATATATATATATATATATATATATATTAAAGAAGAGATCAAATAGAATGACTAGACACTATGAGATACTCAAATTTTGAAATGTGGTTAAATTTGTTTATCTCACATTGGTGGAAAGAAAAAAAGTAGAAGAAATAAAATGTGCATATATATGAAAAGAGGAGGTGATTTTTGTTGTTGCAAGTCATGATGTTGGCTCAAATGAGACAACATTTTCATTTGCATTTGACATTATGAGATTTGATTATTTCTTAAATCTTAAATGTGGTTAAGTTTGTTTATTTCATATAAAAAGATGACTTTTAAATATTGAGATGGGATCTTGAGAGTGATGTATTTTAAAATTTTACATTGTGGTTGGTTTTTAGAATGTAATAATATCGATTCACACATGAGAAAAGGTTCTCGATTGATTCAAACACTGTACATATGAGATAGAAGAAGAAGAAGAAGAAAAAACTGAA